GAAACTATTCTACATGTGAACTATGCAATAGTACAACATATCCACCAATAAATTATCGAGAAAAAAATTTGTTTTTTTTTTTTCTTTTTTCTCTTTGCTTGCAGTATGTTCATTGACATTTAATGCTATCTCAGAGTGTGAGAGATGGGAGGGGAGTCAGATTCCCTTAAGCCTGCACCATTTGTTTACATAATGTCATTGATATGTTTGCAATTCGATCTTCCGGTAACTACCACAACCGACTCCAGATGTTTTTACGTTGTGAATTGTGTGCTAAATTGATTTTTTTTAATGTCTTCCATAAACAAATTGAGAATAATTCTTTTTCTTATTGGAGATACCAGATTCAAACAAGTACAACAATTTAAATATCTGGGAAGTGTTTGAACAGAAGACGAAAAATACGACACTGTAATCCGAAGCTAAATTAGATAGTGAAAAATGCCTTCCAAAAGATAAGCAAAGTATTAAGAAACAGTAAAATTTCGCTAAAAACAAAGAAACAAAGAAAAGAGTTCTGAATTGTTATGTAACAACAGTCCTCCGATATGACAGTGAATGGTAGGCAATCTCCTCATAGATGAAGAAGAGACTTGAGGCAACAGAAATTTGGTTCTACAGAAGGATTCCAGGAATTTCACGGACCCAATATGTTAGCAACGACAAAGTTTTAGAGAAAATGGAAACTAATAAGACACTTACACTTAACATTAAAAAGAGACAATTAAAATTTCTAAGGCGCATAATGGGGAAAACATGTTTAGAGAATTTGACACTCACAAGACACATTGAAGATAAAGGGGACAGATGAAAAAAGCGCATAACCCCTGCCTAACGAGTTTGCGTAAATGGTTAGCAGAACATGGTTTAGGAAAGATAACAAAAAGACAAAAAATTAGTAAGGGCTACAAAGGGCAGGGAAGATCTATGATCTCCAACGGCCTGAAGGGACACGGCACATAGAATAAGAAAAGAAAAAGAAAAGAAAAGGATGTAACATTTTCGAGATTTTTTTACAAATTGATTTGTTTTGATACAAAAGTACTTTTCAGAAACCTTTAAAGAATCTTTACTTTGTGTTCCAAGAAGTTGGATTTAAGATAAACGTTTCGAAAACAGAAAATTGGATCTGGAATTGGAATTGGAATAAGAATGCAGATGGCACATGCCATGAATCCATCATAAGAATTCAGAATATGGAATGAATAAATTCTAAACACTTCAAATAACTCCTCACCGAAGTTAAGCAATGTCGAGCCTAGTCAGTACCTAGGTGGGCGACCGCTTGGGAATACCAGGTGCTGTAGGTTGGGATGTGTGGGTGGTGTTACAGATAATGACTCAGAATTGTTAATCGGAGATCCGAGTTCCAATTCCAGTCAGGTTTGTTATATTCACTTGATACGCCGCTAAACAAAAACTGCCAACAATCAAACAACTCCTAGTGTAGATCAGTTATAACCAGTTTAGGAAAGGAGAGAAGGAAATCGAACACAAGATAAGTTACTCTAAGTGTAGTTTCCCACAATACCGCAAGTTGTTACAATACCAAAATAAACTTTGGGCTTATATATATTATTATTATTATATTTACTCTTCCTTTTTTTAAATTTTGTAATATTTTAAATAGTACATCGCAATGATCCAAAGCTCTTCTGAAATTTTTCAAGTGTCGGTGATCGGTTTCTCTTCTATCTGGCCTTATAAAGCATCATGTTGTTCTTCTGTCTCGCGTCCCTTCAGGACATGAGCGATCATGGCTCTCCATAACTTCCTATTCCTTGTGGCTCTTAGCAGTTTTTTCTACTTGTGCTAAGGTTCCCACCCCATCCTGTTCCATCATCCATTCAAACAATCTCGTCAGGTAAGTGGTTCGCTGTCTTGCCCTATCTCTCTCTTTGCCTTGACCACGAACTCTCTCTTTCTCGTGAGTGTTAAGTTTTCCAATCCCCCTTTCCCTGTATTGTATCCAAGGAATTTCAGCTCTCTTCCTGATTCTGAGCATAAGCGTTTTTTTTTTTGTTGCCATCTTAATAAAAATAAACAGTCATAAACACCGCTAAACAAAACAACCAACAATCAAATAACTCGTAATGTGGATCAGTTATCATCCGTTTAGGAAAAGAGAGAAGGAAATCAAACACAGGATACATTGCTCTAGGAGTAATTTCCCACAATACTACAAAAAACAGGAAATTGTGGAGAGCCATGATCTCCAACTCCCTGAATTTACACGACACATTGAAGAACAGCCCGTGAAACAGGCCTTTATAAAAATATCTTTGTTTGAAGAGTGTATGATAAATTTGATAATTAGGAAAGAAAAAAAGAAAAATATTGCACGTTATTTCACTGCGTCACAAATATCCCATTTTCTTTTATATGACGTGTCATTTTAGGACGTAGGCGATCATGGATTTCCACCTCCCCCTCCTCCTCCTCCTCTCCCTTGTAGCTCTTAATAAGTTTTATCTTTTAGTTATTTCTAGCATCCTCAGCATCCTTCTGTACAACCACATTTCTGTTCGTGTTTCTTCTTCATCTTTGGGGAGATTGTCCAACATTCTCTGTCATACAGGAGGACAGATATGTAACAGTTCAATACTCTTTTCTTTGTTTCCAACGAAAATTTCTTGTTTCTTAGTACTCTGCTTAGCTTTTGGAAGGCATCTTTGACCATCCGAATACGTCTTTGGATCACAGTGTCGCACTTTCCGTCCTCTGTCAGAACACTTATTTAAACTTCTGTATCTGCTTGATTTTAGTATCCCCGACCTATAAATTGCATTTTGGGCTCATCTTTTTGATGACGGCCATGCATTCTGTCTTCTAATAATTTATGCTTAGTCCCTTCTTCTCGCTCTCCTTCGCTACCTCCTGTAGGAGGTTTTGTAGTTTACTTTCCATGTCTATCAGCACTGTGTCATCTGCATATCTTACATTGTTAAGCTTGTGGCCGACGATGATGAATTCTAGTTCTTTTAGAATCGCTTCGCTGTATAGGTTGAATAAGTCTGGTGAGAAGACACAACCTTGTCTTATACCTCTTTCTATTTTATATATCTGCTGAACTCATTTTTTTAGCCGTATGCAGGCGGTTTTCTGCCAGTAGAGATATTTTATTATTCTAATGCCTTTCCAGAATATGTCAAGGTTGCTGAACAGCTCAAACAGATTTTTGTAGCGTACTTTGTCGAACGCCTTTACGTAGCCTATAAAACACAGGTATATACTTATCTCAAGACCAATAAAACTTCCTTCGACGTTTATCGCTACAAAAACTCCTGCAGATCTAACGCCTGTAAAATTACCCTTTTTATTGATATAGGAGTTTAAATTGGATAGTTTCTAAAACTAGTTTTACCAGATTTTCAGTATAGATTAAATAACGTCAAAAATGATTGCCTCGAACCGGAACTAGGTGTACATTTCCCACTAGCACCGGAATTAAATGCTTGGATCTTAAATGAAGATTTTCAAGGCAGGGAGATTTAGAATTTTGGCGTAATTAAACCATTCTGTGACTATAAAAAGCTAACGTCAGCAAATACTAATAATAGATGCCTAACATAGTGTGACCGTAACAAGCGCCTCACGAAAACGACTTCGCTAGTGAAGTGAATCCGATTATCATTGGAAGCTCCACTATTGAAGCCTCGTGTCAAACTATGGTCGTCAATAGAAGAAATGGAAGAAGGATTTTTTTAATATAATCATTTCACCAAAAGCAGGGCAATAAGGCCACTAAGACGCAAAGGGGTTACGAATGTGAGAGAATATGAGAAAAAGAAAACATTAAGGAGAGAACAATAACTGAACAGGAATTAAGAAGACAGAAGATTGACATTGCATTTAAATTTTTGAGGATCAAAGATGGCTATAAAGCAAGAAGCCGAAAGAGAGTTCCACAAGCGATGAGTGCGAGAGAAAAAAAACTGTTAGCATAGAACTTACGGTTAGTTCTAGCCATTTCAGCTATAAAATAATGAGACCTAGCCGCCAATCTAGTAGTACGTTTAAATTAATAAAGTTTATGCACCAAAGAGGAAAGTTCATCAGAACAATTACCATGAAAATATTTATAGAAAAGGCGGTGGGGGAAGTGCATGAAGCTGGAATGCCAGATCAGGACCAATAACATTGTAGATTCTTTGTATTTTATCAAGAATTTCTAAATACACAGCAGAAGCAGCAGTCCAGATGTGACAGCAATATTCAAAGGATAGACGAATGGTAGATTTATAAATGTGTAAGGTACCTTCCGGGGAGAAAAAAATTGTCTAACACGACACAATGGACCAATTTTCCTAGTAACAGACTAAGTAATTAATTAAATATAGTATTTCCTCGCTTCATTTTCAGAGGAAAACGTTAACACGATAAGGCGCTAGGAGTTGATCATAAATAATTGTAATATAAAAACAAGATCCTATTTTCCACTCAGACAAGTCGCTTCTTTCTAGCTGTCTATCACGAATGAAAGGATAAAAAAACGGAAAAATATCAAGGTGAAACAATTGGGGGTTGTAAAAACAAAAGATCCCTTCAATGTTCATCTAAAGGTCATTGTACTCGTGTGACAACACCTGCTGAAAACAAGGAAGTATAATCTACTGAAACATTGTAATAATGACAATACAATTGAATCACCGGAGTAAATCATCAATGATAGTGTTTGTAATATGAAGTCAAAAACGGGCGATAATGTTAGCGATTAGATTAACCGTTTTCCTACAGTAAACCTCGGTATTCAGTGACTGAACCGTAAACGTTACTATCGGTTGAAATTTATAAAATCTAAGATTTACAGTGAATTCTAATATTTATGAGAGTTTCTTTCCCAACCTTTTGTTTAATGTAATGTGTAAAGCTAACACCTTAAAAAAAAAACATTATTTTCCCTTCTAGTAAAAAGTGCTATCAATTTTAATTGCCATTGCTGTTAGGCATCTTCAAGTGATCTTTCTGTTATTTGGTGCACCTCGTGATGGTTTGGGGCTTACGGTCAAATTACGTTGAATCGCCGGTTCCTGTACGATCACCAAAGTTAAGCAACGTCGAATTTGGTTAGTACGTAGATGGGTGATCACTTGGGAATACCAGGTGCTATAAGATTGGATGCGCGGGTGGTGTAAATATTGTTAATCGGAGAATCGAGTTTCAATTAATGTTGGGTTCGTTTTATTCACTTACGCGCTAATAACGTTGGGTAAGGTAAGGATCTACCTCTTCTTCCTCCATATATGGGTTAATCAGTAAAACATGCATCACGAAATCATTATCTCCCCGCCACCCAAAAAAACATTCTTCAGCCTAAAAATATGAAAAACGAATATTAAAAATTCTTACAAAGTAAAAATATTAGAAAATGAATCTTACAATGAAATACTGATTAGCTGCGCAGGCATGTCTTTTAGATTTATTTGCATTCTCTGGAATATAAATGTATAGAAACTGCCAGGCCATAAATTGAGGGATCAATTTATATATTGATTGCAATATAGAATTGATCCCCCACTTTATATCCACTTATAATTTCTAGGTTGTTAATAAGCTGTAGAAAATGAATCTTTCAATGAAATACTAAGTACACAGACATGTAGTTTAGATTTATTTGCATTCTCTGGAATACAAATATATAGAAACTGTCTGACTATAAATTGAGGGATCAGTTTATATACTGATTGTAATATAGAATTGATCCCCCGATTATATACATATATTTTTTTTTGTTTTTAATCAAATTCTTATTAGGTATGAATCCACCTCTTCTCCCTCCAGCTATGGGTTAATTAGTAAGATTATTAAATCATTAGTACATCCAAAAAAGAAAATTCTTACAGTCTAAATATATTTTCCGACTTGCAAAGGCTTTTTAAGCCGTACAAAACGAATGAATGAATCAATCTTTGTGAGTCAATAGGGTACAAGTGAGGATTGTCTACTTTAGGACATAGCCTAGTAAGTACCTATATGGATAACCGCTGGGGAATACAAGGTACTGTAAATTTGGATATACAGGTGATGTAATGGATAACTGCTCAGCATTGGAAACCGGAGATCCGATGTTTTTGGTCGTTGTACGTTCAACTGAACCCTTTATTTCGGCCACCAGAGTAGATTCTTCAAGTTCCACGTGCCATGCCTCTTCCTGATGTCAGTTATTTTCCCTTAATTCAATTAACTAAGTTTCTGTTCTGCATTAGCCAGGTATTGAACTCACAACTGGATCCAGCCAACGCGTTTATCCACTGAGCCATGTGTCCATTTCTGGGACTTAATGTCTCGGTAACCATTTTTTATCAGAGCTCATATTACAATTTTTGTTATTATTATCGTTTTTCTTTAGCAATCCATATTACTGTTCCTATATTGTATTTATTTCTATGCTTGGAAGGCTTAGGAAATTTTTGTGGTCTAGCATATATGCTGATTCCTTAAGTTTTCGAATTTTCCAGTGATGTTCTCTGTCTATTATTTCAATCTCATCCCACGGGAAGCAGTGATCTCCCTTTTCCTTCCATATGTGGTCAGTTACACCTGGTTTCTCTATTTTCTCTTTATGATGTTCCTGCAGTTTTACCTTAAGGGGGTGACCTGTTTCTCCTTTATATTCCTTACCACAGCTGCACGGGATAGCGTACACACAGTCCTTAGTTATGTTCTCCTTTATGAAGGGGGTCTTGCTCTGAAGACGTGTCTGAAAGTGTTGAACCACTTTTGAAGATCGTCCTGATGTTATATAGACCACAGATCTTTTGTATTTTTTCCGACAATTCCTTCACATAGGGTAGGCAGACCGAAGCTTTTTTCTGAGTTGCTATCTTCTTGTAACCTTCTATCCCAGTTCTTCGGAGCTGCTGTCATGAGTAGTTGTTATGTTTAGGGTACTGCTTATACTGACCATTTCTTGTTCATATGTCTCTGGGTTGCCACTTACGACTTAGAAATTTCAATTGTCTCTTTCTGATGTTAAGTTTAAGTGTCCTTTTAGTTTCCATTTTCTCTAAAGTTTGTCGTTTCTCACATATTAGGTTCTTGGGATTCCCAGCATCCTTGCGTAGAACCACATTTCTTTTGCCTCAAGTCTCATCTTCATCTATGAGGAGATTGCCCACCATTCACTGCCACATCGGAGGACTGTTGTTACATAACAATTCAGTACTCTTTTCTTTGTTTTTAGCGATTTTTTTCTGTTTCTTAATACTTTGCTTAGCTTTTGGAAGGCATCTTTCTCTATCCCAATGCGCCTTCGGATTTCAGTATCACATTTTCCGTAATCTTTTCAAAAACTTCCCAGATATTTAAACTTCTGCCTATTTGGTTTTGGCATCTCCAATTTGTAATTTGTATGTTGAGCTGTTCCTTTTGCTAGCAACCATGCATTCTGTCTTCTTGCAATTGATGTTTAATCCTTTTTCCTTGCTTTCCTTCATTAAGTTCCATCCTGATAAAAAAAAAGAACTTCGCAAATATTTCAATTGTTGTATTTGTTTGATTTTGGTATCTCCAGTTTGTAATTTTCATGTTAGGCCGTTACCAACAATACATTTTACCTGTAGTTGAAGGCATACAATTATTTTAAGACATTTTATGTTTATACATTCTTTTTATAGATACAAATATTTAAGTGAATGCTCTGTTTTATAATAAAACAAAGTCCGACAATTATTTTGTACATTTCATAATGTGTGACGTTATTTGTTTGCATATGGATACGCTTTGAAGATTGTAGTTTAAAGACAGTAAAATCGACCTTGCTAACCGAACGCTCCTCTGTGGCCAAATCGGTTAAAGGCACATCAGGCTATATGACGGTTCCGTATAGGTTACAGGTTCGATTCCTGTCGGAGGACGAATATTTTCTATGAAAATTTCTCGGACATTCAGGCCGGTAAATGTTATTAATACTGTTTATTATAAAACAGAGCACTTACTTAAATATTTGTATATATAAAAAGAATGTATAAACATAAAAATGTCTTAAAATAATTGTCGGACCATGTCCATTTCATAATGCATACAATTATGTTTAAAATATATTTAGTTGAAGCCATAAAATTGTGTTCAAAATATTTAGATTTCGGCATTAAGTAACCCATGGAGTTGTTGATATGTCACTAAACGAAATCTACAAAACTAACCAAATCATAGGAATCGCCTTGAAAATCATGATTAATATATAAACCTACAGACTGCGGTTGTGGAATGTCAAATTAATTGCCTTGGAAATCACGATGCCGAACTCCTGTTATTTTAACGCATCTTTATGACTTCGAATCCTGGACACCTAGCAGAAGTGTATTCATCAGCTTGATGCCTTCTATAAGCAGTGCTTTGTACAATCTGTGGCTATACCCTGGAATATAAAGTCTTACTTATTATAAAACGCAGATTGTGTGTGTGTGTGTGTGTGTGTACGTTTATATATTGGATCGGATTTCCTAAATTTTTTAACTGATTTCAACAAAATTTCACAGGACTACGTAAAATTACCTTGCGGTGGTTCTGACAGCGCCAAAAATTGGAAAAACACAATTGTTTTTGCACAAAATCAATTTGAAAACACGATTAAGAGGCATCACGAGAATAAAAGGGGGGCAACTCATATCGAGTTATACTTATTATAAAACCCAGGTTATTTGTTGTGTATGTGTTCGTTTATATATGGGATCGGATTTCCTACATTTTTCAACCGATTTCAACAAAACTTCACTTTTTTGGCAAGTAGTGTTTCTTATTGTCTTGCACGCTTTTTTCTTTATTTTTACATTCAGAATGCTTTAAAAATTCCATTTACAAGACAATTGTTTATAATAAAATTCTATTCAATCGGTAGACTCATAACCATTGAAAACAATGTTTTTGTTTGAGTTTGGGTTTGAACAATTCATAAAAAAAAAAAATAATTAAGACATGCGTGTCCGTCAACCTTAAACAATAATCTTTGTCAATTTTATTTTTCTGTCTTTATGATGGTCGATACTTGATCTATCTCTTACTGTTACATCCCCGGGCGACGCTGGGCTCTACTGCTAGTATCTAATAATTATCTGTTTTCAGAGGAGGAGAGACATTTCTAATGCAAGCGTTATTTGGATGGGCACTGAAGATTCTCATGTACAATCAATTGTATGACGGTTCTCGGAAGACTCATGTGAAATTATGAGTGTAAACTCAAGCAAAACTTAAAATCTACGGCCCTCTCCCTGTCATCTTTTGAAGAAGTGACTTCTGTTCGTGCCAAGTGAAGGAATGTGATATTTCGGGATTTTAGGAGATTATTTCAAGCATCTTGAGGTCTTCTATTCGACTGAACTTGCTAGAATGGCCTGATCTGGGCAAATCTGGCAGTTGTGTCAAATGTCTTTCAGTTGTAAGTTAAGTGCAGTATTTGATTTATAATTGCTTGGAGATCTTTTTAAATTCCTTCTCTGAATCACATGAATCTATTAACTTCTTTTAAGGCCTCAGATTAGGTCTTTTGTTATCTGATGATAACATTCACTTAAACAATAAAGAGCCAATCAAGCTAAATGCCAGAAGTTTAAACAAGAGAAGCTCCTCTAAAATCCTCTCTGGCAATTTTCTAATCATTCGCATCTGATGTGGTACAAGAACTTGTAAATAAACATCAGTACTGATTGAAAAACCTTCGCTTTTCAAAATGGACTCCCAATTTTTCTCTAATGTAAAGTGTTTCATTCGAAACCAAGAAAAGTCCATTAAAAGTAAAAAGCTGTCTTTCATTGTCTATTACATTAGAAATGCCTGCGTAAAAGAAAACTAATTGCTTAAAATTACGTTATTCCAATATATATATATATATATATATATATATATACGGGGGGTCCATAAAGTTCGTGTACTTTAAAAATCTATAACTTTATTTGTATTTGCGGTAGAAATAATCTGTAAAAAAATGTTATAAAGTTTAATGTACGTAGTTTTAAGTACAGCTAAAATAAATAATGTGATTTCAGGCATTACTGTAAATCAGTTGGCAAATGTTTTCCGTGAACTGCAAAATCGTATTACCCTTTGTATTGCTAATGATGGAGGACATGTGAAAACTTAAATAAAATTTCAATAAAACCTTAAAAATTATA